GCTAGGTCACTCCATTATTTCAGGTCTTCAATGCATTTTACTCGAATGCCCCTTAACCATTACACCTAAATGTTCCTATGAAAAATCTGACCCACTGTTGTGGCCCTGCCCTATCCATGGGGGTCTTGATTTGAACAAACTTGAATCTACACTACTTGAGGATACTTCTATATTAATATGACTAATAATGGCTTAGCTGTTCTTGAGAAGAAGATTTTTAAAGATATTTCCAATATATTCCTATGGTGAACATTGACCCCCTATTGTGGCCCTGCCCTACTCCTAGGGGTCATGATTAGAACAAACTTGAATCTACACTACCTGAGGATACTTCTATTATAATATGACTAATCATGGCTTCGCTGTTCTACAGAAGAAGATTTTTAAATACATTTCCTATTTATTCCTATGTAAAACTTCGACCCCCTCTTGCGGCCCCGTCCTACTCCCGGGGTTCATATCATGAAGTATGTCATGAAGCTTTCAAATAAGTTTCATCTTTTCTTGCCCAGTTGTTCTTGAGCAGAAGATATTTAAAAGAAGTCACCAAATTTTCACGAATTCTTAATTATCTCCCCTTAAAAGAGGGCATAGCACTTCCTGTGAACAAACTTAAATTCACCCAAGGATGCTTTGTGGCAAGTTTGGTTGAAATTGGCCCAGTGGTTCTTGAGAAGAAGTCGAAAATGTGAAAAGTTTACGGACTACAAACGGACGCCGGACTCTCTTTGATCAGAAAAGCTCACTTGAGCCTTCGGCTCAGGTGAGCTAAAAATTACAAAATGATAAGTTGTAATATTGTAATTTTATATTTACTTCCATCCGGTAAATTCAAATATTACAATATGACAGTAATATAATTCAATCACTAGTGAACTCTTGTTTGCAATATAAAAAAAAGATAATGGCAAAATTGTCATTTTTATTGAATAAAGGGGTGTAAAATATAGGCTGGAATCGAGAGTTAGTGTGCGTAGTTATTTGCCATACTCTCCCCATGGCCTTCTTTTAAAACTTACCGATGAACTAGTGATATTTTATGTTCGAGTACGTATCAGGGTGTTGTGAATTCTTAGATGCAGGTCTCTGGAACAAGGTAAGTAATTTTATTCAGTGATAAAACTCTACTGAAAGTAAATGGGGGACCATTTAATGTCAAAAACGACTGGGCATTAATATTGTTTCTTGTGGAACACATGGGTTTTCCAAAAAGAAAAAAAAATCTGGTATTTAAGGCGAGATATTAACTCGCATGATTCCGCGGACATCAAATCAACATTTAATAAACGAATTAGAGACAATGTTCAGCAATATTTCTCCTCCTCTCCCTTCGACCAACGTTTAATATATGTCAATTTTTGTAACGTTGATATTTGTAATTTTAATGTGTACCATGGCGTTGAATATAGTATACCCATATTTTGTTAGAAAGTTCATTCTCAAAATTGCTATTTTCGCAACCATGGCAACACTGTTCATTGAAATAAAAATACTAAAATATTGAATTTTGTATCTTAGTGTTCTTTACATGTGCACCAAATTTTATTGAAGTCAGGCAAAAACTGTAGGCGGGAAAGTGATTTGAAAATTGCTGAATATAGTATACCCGTGTTTTGTAAGGAAGTTCCGTTCTCAAAATTGCTATTTTGTAACCATGGCAACACTGTTCATTGAAAAAAAAACAAAAATAAAGAATTGTGTATCTTAGTACACTCTAAAAGTGTACCAAATTTTATTGAAGTCAGGTAAAAACTGTAGGAGTGAAAGCGATTTGTAAATTGCTTATAATTACGACAATCAGACAGCTGTAAAGCCAAAGTCTAATACACGGACATTGTGTAATTGTATAAACTCTTTCTATCAAATAAAATTGACCAGTATAACTAAAAACTAATTGTTTGTATGCTTTGTTTTCATAGTATAACTAAATCCTCTGTTATGGAAACATTGTTTGTAAATTTGTTTGTATTTCTGTGATGTAAAAAGGTGGAAAACACAAATTTTGGCAATTATGGGTCTCATTCGTTGCCATGGCAACCATGACGTCATTTTACACTGCATAATTAAATACTTTAAGATTTTACCTTTCAGAAAATGTATAGGTTGCTTTATGTAAAAGTGACTAGAAAATGTTAAAATTTCAATTTGAAATTTTTAGGCAGTTTTACAGAAAAAAATGCAATATCTCTGGTAGTTAAAGGGTTAAACCTTTATTCAATATAATTTTCTTAATGTCCAAAAAACATTTACACTGGTGTATAGAGGGTCCTTAAACGAGTGTATTAAATTCGTATAATGTCAACTTATTTGTCAGTAACTTGCCTCTGTTTAAATTTTAATCCTCCGATTTTAATCCTTCTCCGATCATGATCAAGATCATGATCTTGAGTATGGAATAACCTGGACGATATGAACATCATATACAGGTGAATATTACTACATAATGGAATATTGCTACATAAATAACTGTATTACTACTTAAACTAGAGGTTCTGTGAGCACTGAGATCAAAAAATGATACCCCCGCCTCCCATCTGTTTATAATGGTTAAGTCAATGTTTTGCCACGGGAGACCCGAAATAAGTGTCCAATCAAAAATTAAAATAGGCGGTCACAATGGCAATAAGTAATAAAGATTCTGTGAAAGTCTCATTAAATTTTATTCAGGAGTTGCGGATAAGAGATAGGTACCCCTCAATATTATAAAAAGAATGACAGCGTCTATGTTTTGCTATTGGAAACCCGAAATAATAAAAGATCAAAAAGTAAAATAAGAGGTGCACAATGACACTATGTAACAAAGATTCGATGAAAGTCTCATTAAATTTTATTCAGTGGTATAAAAGGAGTTGCAGATAAGAGATGTGTACACCAAAGTGTAATGGACGGACGGATGTCTGGACAGCGGGGGTACAATGTATAATATAATAAGGGTAGTTGACGATGGAAAAGTTGGTCATCTTGTTTGTTTCACATTAGTTGTTTGTTGGCACGGGCTTTGTTGGCTCTAGTCAGTAAAACAACCAGATATCAAATAGATTTGGCAGATTTTGTGGTGTCTTTTATTTCGACTTCACTGGTATACATTGAGTCGATAGGTAACCATTGTTAATTGATAAAACATCATCGATAAAACTGAATGTCGAGTTGAAGGCCACAACAAATGTTTTCTTCTCATGTAGAAGCTCCTGAATAAATTCTGCTTACTAGTAAAAGGTTATTAAAGTCGGCTAATAACGTCGCAATTTCAACAGTTTGTTGGAAGTCCTGCTCTCCAAAGACTACAATGATGTTGTTTTTGAGGAACTCCAGCATCCCTTCTATATTAATCTAAAAGCACTTCTGACCATCACAAGATATTAAAATTTTCATTGAAGAAATTGTCTTGATATCAACTAGTTTTTAATTTATTGTAGTCTAAAAAGTAATTAATGTAACTCTCTTATCTCCGAAAAAAAAACCTTGCAGCAAAAACTTACGACTTTTCATCTCTATATACAACCATTCCTCACGATTACAATGTAATTTAAGTCCAGACTTTTTGACATCATTTGGCGACATCTTATTTTCATGATTTAGTTATTTGGAATTTATAAGGAAAATAAAATGTCCATTGTTGGTGTATATAATGCACGCAATAATAATACAAATAAAAGCAAAAATGATTTAAGTGATTTAAAGTCCTCTTTTTTAATTAAATGCACATCACAAGCAATGGCATGCCCAGCAGAACTAAAGTAAGGTAGAAAAAAAACAAGGACACGATTTTTTTTAAAATACAAGGTATGGACTGCATTTTCTTGAGATATAGTGGAATACAAGATTCCACCTTTTTGTGATTTAGAATATTACTTTTGAATACCTTTGTTGAAAAATCTTATCTTAAGAACATACTTTTTTTTTTAGAATTATTGTCATCCGTAAAACGATGGTAAACGTTGTCCTTTGTTTTGTCAATATATAGTTGCCAGGTTCTATAATTTTTATTTCTAGGTTAATATCCTGGTACATCACGTCGATCAAACATCTTCCTCAAGAGGAGTGTTGCCTGCAAAAAACTATATATAATTCTGCTAATCTGTTTTAGTTTTACTCGGAATAGAAAAAGCGATTATCATATGCATATAAATATTTATACCAGGCTTGTGAAAAATTATATTTTCTCAAATCTTTCGAGTTACAATTATTTCAATCTATTCCCGCTAGTTGATACAAAATGCATACTTATGAAAGTTTTTGGCATATGCAAGTGTCTGTCCTTAACTTGCACTGGATGAAAAAAAAAAGTTTTCGCATAACACCTCTGCCGAAACTGAAGCTTCCTTACAGTTTCCGCAAAGCCTCAGCATTATAAATTTAAGTTTTATCAAGTTTCTGCAGTACTGAAACTTTGGTCTCGAATTCAAATGGTTTCCTCAACTTAAACTTGATGAAAATTGAAGTATATGTAAGGTTTCAGCTTGTTTAAACAGTTGATATACAAGTAGCATATATACTGTATTTTTCGCAATGAAGAAACTTGAAGAAACGTAAAGCGTATGCAAAGTTTCTGATACAGTTTAGATTAATAATTGGTAATTTACTTCAGAGTAACATGTTTAAGGATAAGATCTGTTCAATTCAACTGTAAAATTTCGTTATCATCTTCCTTTATCAAGTTTTATTATTTGTAGATAAACATTTAAAATGATAGGGCATCTCTTTTATTTTGCAATAAAAGAATTTTTATAACACAGGTACAAGATATTAAAGTCCTTTAAAGTTTATGCATGTCTCCTGAACATAAAAAAATAAGAAATATAATGTTTAAATGGGCAATACGGGAGATAAGAATACCTAGGAATACCTAGGAAATGTCACAAACTAGGTATCAAATCGGAGCACAGAAAAAAACCTATCAGGAATATGATTTGGTAAATTGCCAACATTGTCAATTCGTAGAATAAAGATATTTTTAACAAATCTATTGCTTATGTTCTTTCGATTTTAGGATGCATACATTGTAGCCAAAGGGTATGTACATATATATACATAAATATTTTCAATGAAGTAGAAGCTATCAATTTAAGGATGAAGTCATATTTTTTGCACTTTAATTGGAATCTGAACAAGTAATAACGGGCGGTTTTTCTGTACATTAGCTAGGGCATATTTTCATACAAACAATGTTTATATTAAATTTAAGGAACATTAAATAGTGTTTGGATTGTTATGTTTTTATATACTACATATTCACTATATATAAATCTCCCATAGCCACTAAAGTGGTTAGAAAAAAGCCATCTGTTTTTAAACATTCTGCAGGACAATATTGGCGTACATTTGCGGAAGTTGGCGAAAGTCAATTAGAGGAAAAGTTTTCTTTTTTCAGGTTAGTCAATTCAGAAAATGTCCTAACCTGAAACCAATTGCAACAACAGTTGGTATTATGGCCCCATTAAAATACATAATTTGACCAAATTTGAATCGATGTCTTTCTGCTGAATATACTTAAATAAAGCTAAATTAAAACAAATGATGCCCTCATTATACCCGATTTTTTAAATTTAAAAAAAGGAACTAAAAATGAAATGCACAAAGTTTATTTTAAAGTTGATTTACATGTCAATCTATTAATTCGACATTTAACAAGTATCGATATTTCCTGTTATTATTTACAATGGCGATTGTCAGATCGTTTAAATCAATATCAGGTCTTATGCAATTCATAACTTTAGGTATCTTATCTTTAAACTGTATTGACAAAGCGCCAATTATTTCAGTTCAATGATCTTGATGTTGCATCAAGGATCTTTACATTGATTTAGATATTATGTGTGCACAATTGATAATGATCAGAGTTGCATTCTCCTGGTTTACACCTAAAAAGGTACATTTTACGTGTCTTTATCCCAATTAAAAAATCATCATTGATTTATAGTGGAGCAATATAAGACTGTACGTTTTATTTTTGGTTCCCAAAGTGTTAGTCTGTCTGTCTTGCAGTCTTATACAAATCTAAGAATAAATAACACCTACCTTTGATTTAAATGAATTCACCATATACGTATTATCACGGAGACGCATGTAAATATTCGTATTCAGATGATTTTTTCTATCATTTCAGAATACATACACATTTGACATTTCATCGGTGTACATAATATGTAGTGCGTAATTTTCAACGAAAGAAACAAAGTTACAGTTCCCGACTTTGACTTACATTTAAATCGTATTTTTGCACAAACCAGAGGTCTGCATTAATGCTAGTGAACACCACTAAAATATACTAGATAAATATAAAAATAATTGTGGTGATTTTTCGTGACTGTAACAAATAGCATTTGCTTTCAACTTTGAATACGACAAAATAAAAACAATTGTAGTAATTTAGTTGAGGTACTGATTTGAAAGTTTGATATAATAATAATAATATAATATTTTGACTGCTTTCAGGGCATATACATGTATAATGGATAAATCGAGCATTTGTTATAAAGGAAAGCTCCAGTCAGTCTGGGGAAAGCTGAAAAAAGACGTACGCCTCTCCGATATTGCTGACCCCTTGGTGGAAAGTGGCACCCTCTCGTTAGAGCAGTGGGAAGAATTAAAGTCCGCCCATCTTCCAGAGAGGGATCGAACAGAGAGATTTCTTTTCATCTTAATTAAACAGAATTCTCCGAATAACTTTCGAGCCTTTGTCGAGGCACTGAAAAACAACGGCCACGGCGAACTTGCCACGAAGCTTCAATCAAAAGGTATGATTAATTTAAGAATAAAACACGTACCTTTCGATTTTGATAATAAGTAAAATAAATCAAACTGAACAACAGTTTTTGCAATGATCAAAGGATGTCGAAAGATATCGCCTCGTTGATTTTACTCCATGATCATGTGATTACAAGATACAGTTTCAGTTTGATGGGGAAAGAATACTTTTAGGTTTGTTTCACACAGTATCTCTTTCAGTAGTAAGTTTATTAAATTTTGAAATAAAATGCCAACGACATAAAATTTTCTCAGTAACTGGTAATCTCTCAGGGGACTTTTAATCTCAGTAATTTATTACCATTAATTTTATATATTTGGTACGAATTACAGACAATGCAGTTCCTGGTCTTCAACTTTCTGGACAACCTATCCAATACCAGACAAAGGTAAGAACTCATCAACACTGCTATAAGTAAAAAATAAAGGTAAAAAAGATTAAAAAGCTAACCTTGAGGAATGTTATTTCTAAGTAAGGAAACGTGTCATACCAAAGAAATGCCAACGTGAAGTGTGAATCCTGAGTTGCAACATCGATGCAATAGCAGGTAGGTAAGACTTAAACTAGCTTAAGAGATTGAGACTAGAGATGCCCTAAAACTCTTAACAGTTCAATTATCCGTTAGTTGTAAGTTGTGGCAACGGAAGAAAGTCTTGCAGCATAAATCCCTATAGCTAAATACAATTCATGCAAGTTTGGATTGGGAAAGACTTACAGTAAGCTACATGTAGAAATGGACCTAATCCAGAGTAAAATTTACTTGGGAATAAACATGCTCGAAAAATTTAACCTGGTCACTGTATCAGGAAATGTACGTACATGTAAGATGCAAAATCCAAAACAAGAGAGTAAGTGTACATCCCTATATACTAGTACATCATGCATGCAGTTTGGTCTAAGTAGGGCTTCTATTTACTTCGGAATAAACTTATTGATAGTAAGTCGAGGTCAGCTTACTAATCGTCAGAATTTATGTTCGGTATGAGGAATCCACACTTTCTTGAAAACTTAATTTAAGCAAACTGTTCTTTGCTTTATTTTATGTACATTTTACATAGTACCAGAGAGAAGACTCACGAGATAGTGGTGCCTCGGGTTTTGATGAATCAGAATCAGCAATGAAAGAAAGTGTGCTTAAGATGGAAACTTTAATGGAAAAGTTAGAAATGATGTACGAACGACAAGAACAGAAGATTGATTCTGTCATCTCCGAGCAGCAGACGGCTCGAAAGCAAATGGGGGTACTTCTCGAAAACAACGAATCAATCAAAACTCAGATGGGAAATATTGCAGCAGACATTGAATCCAAGTTTGATACGTTTCAAATCTATCACGAGGAGAAAAATCAGGATTATGAACTCCTGAAAGAAAGACACGAAGAGCTCCTGGAAGATCATAGAAAAAAGGAAGAGGAGTTGAAAAGTCTCCAGATCCAACTACAAAAACTCGAGGCGGATCCAGAGGCGCATTCTAATGACAAGTTTAAAAACCTACAGACTCAATTTATTGCCTTGAAGAAGACCAATGAAGAAAGAGTTAACCGACTGAAAAATTTGCACACAGAGACTAAAACATTTCTCAAGAAGTATGCCGAAGCATTTCAGGTGCCACATCCCGAGCATCTGAGCGAGATCATCGAACATTTTGAGTCTATACAGGAGAGTATGCAGAAACTGAAAACAGACAATGAATCTCTGATGGAAAAGCTGAAAATGTTGGTGGAACAAAATGAAAACCTCATAACTCAAAATCAGAAGTTGGAAGAGGAGATGTCACACGTGGAAAAACAGAAAAGCAAGATTGAAGAACGAATAAAAACCCCAAAGGGGGAGAAGGGAGATAAAACCACTGGAATTTTGAAAGTGAAAGGCAAGAAGTGTCACTAATGTATTAATATATTTCTGTAAGGACATGACATTGTTCTGTTCTTTCTTTCCGCTTCGTGTGACCTTTTTGGAATGTGTTTATGTAAGAAATAAATCCCGCGATGCAATCCGAATCCAAAGTAATTTTTTCCCACCAAATACGTTACAATCAAAAGATACCAATATCTTCTTCCTGGTGAACACAGTAAACATTAGAAGACCGATTTAAAACTATTGATATTTTTTGATGATGTTTGCTATTTATTGAAGAATAATGGCCGCTGCATTTCTCTGATCTTTGCAATAACTGTTGTAAAATTAAGAATATTGTCATAAGTCGAATGTTTCTATTGTTTTACAGGAACGTGTCATACTTTTGTTTCATAAATTTTTAAGGGGATCGAAATTCAAGATATAAGCAGAAATACAATTTTGTTGATAATTTATTTGGTGGACATATATGTCGTCCTATTCTAACATTAATAATATTTGTAGTTCGTTGATCACATAAATTTTGGGTCTGACTCAACCACGAAAACAAGGCAAAGTGTTTAACAAAAAATGATGAAATGTACAGAATATTCTTATGTGTACAAATACATCAATTCTGAACGTGTATTACTTTGAGGCTTGTTTGATAAAGGAAATAGTTTGAGGACATCTGACCTACATTAGAGTTCGTTTATTAATTAAGCAATGATATGCTAGTATATACATGTAACAATAGGTGTCTACTACCAACACTTTTAACCGATACAAAATCTTAATTTTTTGCAATTTGAATTTTGCTTCTGTAAATGTTTTGCCATACTTGCTCTACATTTGAATCTGTAGTCAAGAATCAAATCAACTTCATCATATTGTTTATATTTACATGCTTCATTAATAAAAATAAATGGCATAAAATACCATACACTATGTTTTAGCATTGATATAAACACAAAATTTGTTCTCATGCATAGATTTTAAATCAATAAACAAATATTTTAAACGATGTTAAAATCTCCTTGGAATGAATGAAACAAATATCCGATTAATTTTTTATATAGATCGAATATTGGAACACACAAGCTTAAGGGCCTTTACTTATCATGCAGGTCTAGAATTCAGTAATTCTACATTACAGGATGTAGATAAACATATTTTTCAAGGCTGTATTTTTGCTCATTAGACTTACTCGGTTACATTAATCACTCTAGTCTTGTGACCTTTTGCTCTTATCAATTATGGCTTTCATAAAAAAAATTTATCTCTCTGATATATACGATTCCTGACCAAACTGATGAAGTGCTGATTTTCAGATTAGAGTATTAAGAATTGTTTTCTTGATTGAATGCATCTACCAGTAAATGTTTCTTAATATTTTTGGTGAAAAAATATAACACTTATAAAAATTTTGTATAATTGTAGTACATGATAAATTACTGCAGTTTTTAAATTGTTTATAAAGGATAAAACATCTCATTTAGTGAGTTGTAAAAACTGGGTACAAGTGTTTTACATCGAACTTACCCCCAAAATATTGAAATATATTGAAAAATATTGAAAATTTTCAGTATATATTCAATCTAAGTGATTTTATTGATCTCTTAATCCCTTTTCAATATGAAATCTCAGAATATACATTTATGGTACATCAAATCACTTTTGGTTCAAACATTATGATACATTCTAACAACTACATTGTACCTACATAACAATGTTTTGTATTTAAGTTTCTTTAAAGATCTATACCATACAGAAATGGTACAAGCTGAATTGTTCTTTCATATGGCTCACATTTTCTTCTCATTTACATGCATTCAATGCTGGGTACATGTATTTTTTTTTTAACCAAGTTAACTTGCATGGAAAAAAATTACAAAATATGACACCAAAAAACAGCACATTCAATCTTCATTCTTTGAGTTCTTTTGCAGCTAAACACAATGCAGGGAATGTAGTCTTCACAGCAATTTCAACACTTTCTCCTTAGAACGCTCTATGTTTGCTTCATTAATTCTACACCTTTTGCCATCTACATCTTTTTCTGCATCCCCAATCCTTTCTGAACTGGAGCAGATGCATCCAGCCTGTAAATACATAGAGATTGTAGCTACTACATGTAAATACATAGAGATTGTAGCTACTACATGTAAATACATACTAGAGATTGTAGACATGTAAATACATAGAGATTGTATCTTTTACATGTAAATACATAGAGATTGTAGCTACTACATGTAAATACATAGAGATTGTATCTTTTACACATAAATACATGGAGATTGTAGCTACTACATGTCAATACATAGAGATTGTAGCTACTACATGTCAATGCATAGAGATTGTAACTACTATATGTAAATACATAGAGATTGTAACTACTATATGTAAATACATAGAGATTGTAGCTTTTACATGTAAACACATTGAGATTGTAGCTTTTACATGTAAATACATAGAGATTGAAGCTACTACATGGAAATACATAGAGATTGTAGCTACTACATGTAAATATATAGATATCATAACTACTACATGTAAATACACAGAGATCGTAGCTACAATAGTAAAAATGTAAATACATAGAGATTGCAACTACTACATGTAAATACATAGAGATTGTAGCTACTTCATGTAAATACATAGAGATTGTAGCTACTACATGTAAATACATAGAGATTGCAACTGCTATATGTAAATACATAGAGATTTTAACTACTACATGTAAATACACAGAGATTGTAACTACAAAATTTAGAGGATTTTTTATTTTTTCTAAGTTCAAGAGGGATAACTCTGTCAAAAATCATTGGACCATGACCAAATTCGAACTTGACCTGCCTATTCCTATGACGTATATATATTTCAAATTTGAGTTGAATGTGTGAAACTGTTGCAGAGATAATGAACGGAAAGTGAATGATGACAGAATGACAGAACAGGGTAACACTATATGCCCCGGCCATTTTATTGCGGGGGCATAAAAATGTAATAAATTGTTTTTATTTAATTGCCCTATCTTTGTATTACCCAGCATTCTCCTGGAGTTGTTTGGTAAGATTCTGGTATAGCTCTGCCTGGTTCCCATCACTCTGAGCGCGACCTGAGAACTCTGCGTGTCTTTTAGAGTGTACAGACTTAATTCGATCTGTCCACAGAGACAGGAGATTACAGGCACCTGCTAAAAAGTAAAAAAAAAATTACATTAGTAGCTTTTCTACAGTGTTTTCATTGTAAACTTTAAATATTAAAAAAAATACTCAGACATTTTATGGTCTCTCCTACATTCACTTCTGTCATATTCTTAAATGGTAACAAAAAAATTTTAACAATTGTCTCTGAACAAAAAATTGTTCAACATGAATTTTTCCATTTCCAAACCCTTTTTTAGCTCAATTGTACACATGCTACTATGAACAAATCAGTATGTCATGATTAGTAAAAGTCTACATGGATTTATAATTAATTCTATTTTAGATGCCAACCTTTTGTTTTAAACTGGGTTTCCTCCATACTCAGTCTGGCCTTCTTGACAGAAGATGCCCCGCCCTCCGCTTTGTTCATCTCTAGTTTCTCTCTTTCTGTCATCTTTTGGAATCTAAATTATTTAAGGTATATTTTTAAGTTTTGTGTGAGATATTTGTGTGTAAATCACAAAGACTTGTCACGTAGGCATATTTCATGAAGCACTCTAGCTTCATGAAAAATATGCCTACGTGCAAGTCTGTGTGATTTAAACACCAATAATTCACACTAATCTTAAAAATAGTCCTTATATTTACATTTTACATGTTTAAATGCACCAAAAATATTCTCAATGTTTGAATTTCTCGCTTCCCTATATCGTCATATTTTATTAACATTTATGTAGCCTCATTGTGACATCACTTTAGCGCAAGTTTCTCCATGTATATTTCTACGTGAGAGTATACACAAAAATGGTTTTCAAATCAATTTCACAGTTGGCTTCGTAGAAAAACACAGCAAATGTAAATATAAAATTTAAAAGTAAAAGAAAAGTACTTTGTTGTGTGAACAAGTTGTAATGGTGACAGGCTCAAGTGGGAACAAACCAAACAAATGAGGCTCAAATGGGGACAGAACCAATCAAATGAGGCTCAAGTTGGGAAAGAATTAAACAAATGAGGCTCAACTGGGGAAGAAACTAAACAAATGAGGCTCAGATGGGATTGCTATACATGTTCTTCCTGTCATTCATAATCAAATGTAGAACACTTCAGAAGTTCATCAATAGACTTTGCATTGTTAAGCAAAATATTTCACAGATTTTTACCATGTACTTAAAAGATAGTTATTTTTTGCAGAATGTCATATATTTACAACTACTGTGTACCTATTCATTTTTAACGTCTACATAAATAATCTTTTAAATATTATATAGCATATTTACAAAGACCAATGACAAGCCTACCACACACATGAGTTAAAATTACAAAAAATTATTTATGGAAAAGCATTTCACAAGTAAATAAATGAATGATTAATCAAATAAATGAATAAAATAATAAATGAAAATTAAATTTTCTTCTGAAGAACAAAATAATCCCCCCCCCACCTATCCAGTTCCTTCCAGGCATAGGACTGTTCTGCAGTGGGATCCACCTCCATTTTCTCTTCCTTGGTCTTTTTGGGAGAGGATTTTACATCATCGCTGGGCTTTTTACACTTCATCAGACACTCCAGTACCCTCTGGTGTTGAGGAGAGGTGTCAGCGTGGGCTCGGATCAAACTCTCCAACTCCGACCACATTTGTTTGTATTGTTCATCTCTACAACAAGTTTAATAAGAATTGTAGATTCTTATAATAGTGTCCTCAACAGATCCTACATCTACAAATACAGTCAAATGTCATCATATCCAACTCTTCGAGACCAAAATTAAATTTATGGATATCAGAGGATATCGGATAACATGTGTAAAAAAAAACAAACCAAAAAACAAAAAGTAAAGGTGGTTGGGACTGCCAATGCATTTCGACATATCCCTGGTATTAAAGATATTGATATTCAAGATAATAAAGTTTAACTGTATTCACAGCATTAATGCATTGCCAAGAACTTCCATCTTTAGCATACATTACATAGTTACTGCTATCATAGCATCTGCATACAAGACAACATTCTCATTTTCTAATACAGCTAAACCCGGTTATAAAGAACTCATAAGTAAATCTTGGTTAGAAGAAATTTTTTATGAATCCCCTCGTTAACTTTTCACAGTAAGGATAAAAAGAACCTTAGTTATCAGGAAGTAAAATTCAAAGTCGCAGTAACTTTCTTACAACCCAAGTTTTACTTTATTAAGCAAGCAATGACTTCTTAGTTTAATGTTACATAAAGGTTCTTAAAAATATGATAATCTATATACAATTGAATTTCGGTATCTCAAACACCAATATCTTAAATACCATGGATATCTCAAAGTGAGTTGTGAGTCCCAACCACTTTTTCTTTAATATATATTTTAACCTGGATATCTTGAATCCTGGGATATCTCAGTTTTTTCTAGGTTCCACAGAATTTGAGATAATGAGATTTGACTGTATAAGCTTTAACATCAATTCAAACTATATATTGCAATTTGTCATGTACATAACTTACTTTACCTGAGTATTTTTATTTAGTTAATCACATTGCTGCAAATCAAAAATCTTCAAAGTTATAATCCACCTTAACAACAAACACAGGTTTAAGTTAACATTAATAGATAGAAAACTTTTAAGCATAATCCAGTCAGCTTTCCTACCTTTTCGGTCCCTTGCCCCGTGGCCCTGCACTTGATGTTGGTAGAGGTTCATTACGGGACTCCATCCCCACTACATGGTAGATTGCCTTCTGACATTCCAACACATCCTCATCATCAAGCTTCTCCTTGACAATGATTGTGGGCAGGGGGTCAATGTGCTACGTAAAGACAAATTTTATATTTGATCATGTGTCATAATGACATCGACATACTGTGCACAACCCTAGAGCAGCATCTAATTAAATCATATGTGATCCAAAAATATACGTAATAATACAATGTTAATATGATATTATCATTTCCAATTGAAATTGCATCTATGGACTAGGGCTGCGCAATAATATCGATATTCTGCAGGGCTCTCACACCAGTTTTTGGGACTGGGTCCGGGGCCGTGAAAATTGGGAAAATTAGCGACCTTTTGAGGAAATGTGGGAAAATCATAACTAGACAATATCCATTAAATTCATTATATATTGAGTTTCTGGTGGTTGTTATCAACTAAATTTCTGTTTTGTAATATACAGAAATGTGAATAACAAGTTAGGAACTACATATTTTACTACATGTTCTTTAATATTTGGGGAAGTGACCAATTGGGAAAATTAAAACATTAAATTGGAAAAAAGGTACCTTTTTTGAATTGGGAATGGGGCCTTTAAATGGCCCCAATTATAGAGAATCAAGAGCCCTGTTCTGGTATATTGCAATTAGTTAACAAAAAATATTGTATTGCAATACGTTTTTCCAGTACTGATATGCTGGCAAACTGCTTGGGCTTTAGATTTCTTGAGTAAAATAAGAAATTTAATTTGTTAGGAACATTTTCAGTCATGCCAAACAGTACCAAATGGTAAGGTTGCTGTTGTATGGTTGCATTTTGTTCCAAAACTGTAGTGAAATCAACAAGAACTTTTTTGTAACAATGTATTTCTATTAGTTTTACACACTCTGATTATAGATGAAGGTTAATAAAATAAGAAAAAGAGCATTTTAATTGTCATTGAAAATATTGCAATATGTATCGCAATACAGTTAAAAATATCAGTATATATCGCAATACTAAATTCCCAGCCAATATCCAGCCCCACTATGGACCTGTGAATTTACTTTGCTTTATACCTAATTCATTACAGTATATATCCGTATAATGCTATCATTAAAGAATATATATATACTAGTATAGTAAATTCGCAATAATACATATTTCCTTTCAAGTTTCACTGCAGCAATTATGCTAAGGGAAATATTACATAGAGAACTTACCATGGAGAACTAAAATTTTCTGATGAATTAAATTTTCAAATATACATGTAAATACTTACAAAAAACAATTTCAATATTTTAAATGTGGTGATCTAAGAAGATTTGTTATAAAAGATGCATATTTCCTTATTTTTATCCCTTACCCAAAATCAATTCACAATAACTGTAAATTCATTATATCCAAGTTCGTTATAACTGTTTAATTTTACAAGGAATTGTTAAAGATTTTTCCTCGGATCCAAAAGAACTTCGCTATATATCCGTAAATTCTCTGTATCTGTGTTATTACTATTCGAGTGTTACTGTACATGTATGAATTGCAAACATATGAATATTTCTTGATATGCTTATATATAAAGTCAATATTCCCCTTAATATGGACTGCTGTATCCTGCAGGATAAGTTCTATGTTTAACTTTTGACTTACAGATGCCATGTTGAAGATGATTGTCTCCCCTATGACCAATGGCCAAAATCGACTCATCCTCTCCAGGTGGACCTTAGCTGTACACAAAAGACAATAATAAGAGATTTCTAACTCAAATTCAACATTTTTGAATTGAAAATTTCATGTTCAAAGTAGAATCTTCATCCATTGCTAAGGTGTCAAAATGATTTTATGTCTGACTATAAATAAACAAAATTACCTCGGTTCATATGACTGACACCTGTTGATGTCATATCTGGTAATGCTGGAGCCAGACGATTCTCCTTCATAAATTCCTTAAAATCCTAAAAATAGAGATATCATTTATTGAAATAAAATAAACTATACAGTGAAACTTGTCTATTCTGGATGTTGTGTAATCCGAAACTTGCCTAATACGATGTAAACTCAATTGTTTAAAATCTTGTCTAATCCGGAATGTTGTCTAATCCGGCCAATTTCTTTGGAACCAATGGTGTCCAGATTAAACAAAGTTTTTCTGTAGTGGTCTTTTTTTTAATTCAGAGATATCTATAGTTCACACAAACCTTGCACTTATAAAGCAGAAAACACTAAGATGATTGTAATAATGGCTTACTAACATTAATTCTGTAATCTGTGACTCTCCCCCCACACCCCTCACTGATTGAGGGTGGGTCCTCCAATAGTGACCGGGCGGTGTTGATGGAGTGGATGAAGATTTCGCCCCCATGACTGGCCAGCATGTGAGAGATCACCTTGGTGCCAGACTTGCGTGGCTGCTCCAACATGACAGCTCGACCTATAAATAAAAAAAAAATGGTTTCAACTTCTGATGCAAAACCCATTTATCTAGAAATATACAATATACAATATCATAAAGGGAGAGAGAGAAGAGTAGCAAAAGAGAGAGGAGAAAGATAAATAGAGGTGGAGAGAGGAAGAACAAGAGTAGAGAAAGAAAGAAAAGAGGTGAAATAGAGAGAGAGAGAGAAGAGAGAAGAAAGTGGAGAGAGAGAGTGAGGAAAGAGATAACAAACCACTAAGGAGGAAATTGGTGAGACAGGAGGACGGCCGACTGTTGACATCCACAGGGGTGATTCTTGCTGCACACGTACAGTACTGAAGCTCTGTCATATAAAAATATAAGAGTTAGCTCCCTTTTACTACACTAAATCTACTTGTAGTTTCAAAACATGTCATTGAAGTCCTCTGTACATGTATGTTATGAAATGGCCACAGTTTATTGAATTACAATTTAATGTTTTCTGATATATAAAGACTGTAGCAAATACTTTTCTACAGTATTCACTATTCAGCTTTTAATTATGGTATAATAAGTCTAAATTCTTGATGCAGTTAACTGGACTTGTCTGTGCATGCATTATAATATGTACATTCACCGACTTTGGGGTATACATACCTACTACATTGGACTTGAGGTATACATACCTACTACATTGGACTTTGGGGTATACATACCTACTACATTGGACTTTGGGGTATACATACCCACTATATTGGACTTTGGGGTATACATACCTACTTCATTGGACTTTGGGGTATACATACCTACAGCATTGGACTTTGGGGTATACATTACCACTACATTGGACTTTGGGGTATACATACCTACTACATTGGACTTTGGGGTATACATACCTACCACCTTTGACTTTGGGGTATACATACCTACTACATTGGACTTAAGGGTACACATACCTACTACATTGGATTTTGGGGTACACCATTTTAAGGTGACAGTTTCTGTAGGGAGTCCCTCCTTGGATGGAATCACTAAGCCATCACTGTGAGCTAACAAAAAGAAAAAAAAACTACAGTTTAGTATTAAAAAGATTTCCTCCATTTCATTTCACTCAAATTCTTCATTTCATTTAGTAAAGTTGTTCACATTAAAGTTTGTAGTTTTACTTTTTAATCAAGTGTTTGGTTTTTTTTCCCCAAAATCTGAGCATTTCTTTTTTTTATTTTTTAAAACTGCATAAGTCATACATGGTTTAATTATTACAGACTGAGTGTCGATTGTTACAGAATCTCTCATTAGCTGTAAATTGCAAGTCAGATTTATGATGTAGTCTGACAAGGATCAGCTTTGAGAGCACATTAACACTACCATGTAAAAAACATTTTGTTGCACAGTAATCATTACCTTATTGATTATAATAACTATGATCATGGACAGTCTTTAAGGCAATCAAGAAATGCCTGAGAGCCAGACAAGTATATCATATAGGCAGTTTATGAATCTAATATTTAATTCTGATTCCAGATCCAATCGTCACTCCTTTTCATGAAAACCTGTACTGATATCTGATGTATCACAGCATCAATTATCAAGTTACCTTTGGTCACAACAGCTGATCCAATATTACAACAATATTACATTCATTTTTCACCAGCTAATATTAAATACCGTCTTTTGAACATTATTTCCTAACAAAAACAAGCTAACAATATTACATTTACCTGTATGGATGGAAACTTTATCTTATGTACATGTTAATTTTGCAGATATAGTAAAAATTGCTTAGACTTGGGGAGAGAAAACACCAACTTGTTGCATGAAAATCATATCCTCCCACAAACCATGGAAGCTCCTCTGCACATCATATACATGTTACCTTAAAAGTTTAAATCTAAAGTTTAAACTAATCTAATATGTATAAAACAAACACTTACCTGACTTCATAATGTCATCGTGAGCTTGTGAAGGGTGCAATAATTCTACGTCATAATTCGCTGAGGAGCTGGCATTCTGTTCTTCCTATTATAGATTAAATAAATTTGATTTACTGTGCAGTCATTATAGTTCATTGGGGTACAATTTAATTCGTGTAATTCTTGGGGGTTCCATACCTATAAATTTACAGCATCATACACCTCCAACATCTCAAAATGCACAAGCTTCTCTAAAATATTTGCTTTTCCAATAACATGGTTTGGAATTAGACCTTTTTTTTTATTTTTTATATTATATATATATGTAATATATGTAAATATATAATTATACAGTTAAACTCAGTTATCTCGAACACTGATAGCTTGAATACCATGGATTTGTCGAACTGAATTGGAAGTCCCAACCACTTATTCTTTAAGTATTTAACCCTCCATATCTCGAATACTCTGATATCTGGAAAAAATTTTCTCAGTCCCATTGAGTTTGAGATAACAATGTTTGACTGTACTTTATACTTAATATGTATATGACAATGTACCTTCATCGGAATGCCAGTAACTGTAGTGGATGACAGACCGTAGTGGAACTGGACTAGCTGGATAAGTTTATTGTACAGGAACTTAGCCGACTGTGTCACATGGACTTCTCCAAACAATAGAGAAGATATCTACATATTAATTAAAAGTCAGTTACTCATTAACATGTATAAGCTCTGACTTAAAAACTACAATTTAAGAGTTAATGAAGAAGTACACGTGTAATATCAAAATCATGCAGACACTGCAACTTTATAGGAAAAACAGGGAAATAAAAGTTAGAAATTTTGCCAGATTCTGTGTGTGTGAATGGAGTTGAAGAAAAGAATAAAATGTATATTTATATATTTACATTTACAAATGTTTTCCCTTATATACTGAACAAAAAAAGAAAGGTATAGTAGAAATAATTTATTTTCAATTTATTAAAAGTTATTGGATCTAAAACATTATTTGTTTATAATAACAAGATACCACTGTCTGACAATATTCTTTTTAAAAAGGTCATTTTAATAAACACATGGGCTTAGAACAGTTCTTTGATCTACCCTGGGGTTTTAATTGCATTTCACAAGTCAGTACCGTGTATGACCACCGCCTGCATTCAGTACTGCGACACATCTGCGACGCATAGAGGATACATATCGTCGAATTACGTGCCCCGGGATATTATTCCACTCCTCTTCTAGTGCTGTCGCCAGTTGCAAGAGACTCTGTGGCTGGGGGC